GACTCTGTACCCTTTTGGCTCATAGATCTAGTCTGTTCTAAACTAAGCCCATGAGTTTTATAGATATCTGGTACCACGAAGTGTCTGCAGACATGCGCAAACAGAACTTTATTAAGACAACTAAACAATAAAACAATGGTAATTACAGAATACCGACAACGGCAAATAAGTATATTATTGTCGATTTCCTCCCGCTTCGTCTTAGAAAGGGTGGGGGACTGGAGGCGGGCTACTGTTTATTTTAAGGTCGAAGTAGTTAACTTTAATGGGGCTTGAGGGGCCATAAAGCTGTAGTTGAAAAGCTCAGCTGGGTGCAGAGCTGACTCGTGCACTTAATTGAAACATTAAAAGGGTTTTTCAAACTAAAAGGTTGGCTTCTTTTCTTCTCGAGAAACGAAGGAATGCTCCAAAACAACGATAGTAGCGCCAATAGCGGTTGAAGTTTTTACGATCCTAACATCAATCTAATATAATAATTTTCAAAACCTTCTTTTATTCTTTTAAAATTCAAGCACACAGGCTATATTTTCGAACAGATCATTTTGAATCGTTATTTATTTAGTTGATGCTGTCTTGGTCTACGCCCCTTTGAAGTCGAATGTCGTATACAATCTAACAAACAGTACGTTTTCATTTGGGCAGTTAACGATGGCATCCTTGTCTTTAAGTTTATGAGGTAACCCCTGTCATCTTTCATAGACGTTTATGGATCTTTTGCAGTCTGCAGTTGTGCGGTTTTGATTTTTGCATGTCTTTTAAAGTTATGGTTGTTTGTTTTTTCCTCCAGATTTGAACACTTCCGGTATCTAAAACGAAAGATGAAGTATTTGTGTATCACTTCGGTCGGGGTATTTGTGAGTAGTGTTGAGTTTTTAGTTTTTTTGCTCTTCATGAATTTGAATTGAACGTGATTTTTTCTTCTACCGCTGTATAGTTTTATCGATGAGTGTGATGGGTGAGGTCAAACATTATGGTTCATTTATTATGCCGTTATACATACGTCTTACGGCATACATGTGAAACATTTGTTTTGCTGTTTTCAAGTCCTTTAAAAACAAAATAATTTGATAAACTTAACACCCTCAAGATGTGTCCGGGGGCAGTTTCTGTAGAAGGTTACTGTTAAAAAGTAACTATTGTTATTGCTAAACATACTTATGGTACAAAAATATGTATTTCCAGACCGTCAGCAAATTTCACCACAGGTATTCAACAATTGATTGAGAACGTGCACTTCCGATCATAACGTCAAAATGAACAGTGCCCAAAAGTATCGGATATGGTATCGAATTTACCCTCTTATATTGAGTGTCCTGTCGAATTGAGAGCGTGAAGGCGGAAAAGAACGACGACGGTTCTTTATATTGCATTGTTTTATTTTTCTTCCCAGACTACTAGGAGTGGGAAAAAGTTCTGCTTCTATTTCTGCCTCACATTAATGAATTAGCTAGATAGTTAGCTAACTCGCTAGACTGCACTGTCTGTTTCCTTATCGCTTGGGGTCTCTGGTCGTGGCTTACGTTAATTTCTTTTTCTCTATCTGTTCAAAACATTAAACGTCGATAAAAAACCCTGTCCTACGTGCTTATATATAAAGTCTAAACGAATAAATGATAATGTATGCCATTAACGTTTTAAATTTTACCAGCATCATCGCTCCCCCACCCTTCCTCAAATAAAAGACATAAAAAAGCAACAAGCCATGACCACACTCACACAAACGTACACACACAAACACACACACACACACACACACACACACACACACACACACACACACACATACATACATACATACACAAACTTAAATACACAAATACACACACAAGCACCCACACGCACTCACACACACACACACACACACACACACACACACACACACACGC